AACGTTGCAGGACCTACAGCAGATGCTGAATGACTTAGCTGACTCTTCTGTGCGCATCGGCCTACAGATGAACTTGGATAAAACCAAGGTCATGTTCAACGAACATGTACCACCGGAACCGATTGCGGTACACTCTGCCGTTCTCGAAGTTGTTTAAAATTATGTGTATCTCGGGCAGACATTGCAGTTAGGTAGAAACAACTTCGAGGACGAGGTGAACAGAAGAATTCAGTTGGCTTGGGCAGCGTTTGGGAAGCTACGTCGAGTCTTCTCATCGTCAATCCCACAGTGCCTTAAGACGAAAGTCTTTAATGAGTGCGTCCTACCCGTCATGACATACGGAGCCGAAAGGTGGACACTTACGGTAAGGCTGGTCCACAATTTCAAAGTCGCTCAACGTGCTATGGAAAGGGCATCAGGAATGAGGTGATCCGGCAGAGAACCAACGTCACCGACATAGCCTACCGGATCAGCAAGCTGAAGTGGCAGTGGGCTGGCCATATTAGCCGCAGAACCGACAACCGTTGGGGAAAACGAGTTCTTGAGTGGAGACCGCGTCTCGGCAAACGTAGTGTAGGACGCCCACAGGCAAGGTGGAGTGATGATTTGCGCAAGATGGGTGGCAGGAGCTGGATGCGAGAAGCCCGAAATCGATCTTAGTGGCGTGCAATGGGAGAGCCTATGTCCAGCAGTGGACTGCGATAGGCTGATGATGATGATGATGATGAAATTTTCGACCTTATGAACTTCCACAGTATTTTTTTTCTTATTTTATGATCCTTTTCACCTTACAATCTTCATTTGTTTTTACCGATCGGATACAAGTATTAAACAACTCATTTAATCTCTATGGTGGGTGACACCAGTATATTTGAAAAAGAAAAATAACTTCCAAACCGTTCGACAATCGAACTAAAGTACAGTAAAGTAGTTGTATTAATATAATAATGGTGCAAACGAAACTAATCTGTCTCCTCTGCACCATTGATGGCACAGGTCAATGGTACATTCAGTACCAGGGGCTGTAAAGCGTGAAATCGAAATACAAAACTTACAGTGCAAATAGGCAACACAGTTTTTTATAATCGTTTACGCCTTCCGTTGCTAAGCGTGTACATGTCCTCACTTCGAAAGTGTATGCTGTGTAGATTCGTTTCTTTCTAAACGAACCACTGTTACCCATTTTTCTCGCTAAATTTTATTTGCTGGGAATCTGTAGTAATGAAATGTATTATACTTTTGCATAATATCATGCTCATGTTTGCTTTATGTGAGTTGAAATGAAACGGACACTGCTTAGAAAAAAAATATCTCAAATGTTGCATAACTCTTAAAAGGCCGGCAACGCGTTTGTGACTCCTAAATTGCAGACGTTCATGGGCGGCGATGGTCACTTTCCATCGGGTGACCCGTCTGCACGTCTGTCCCTCTTACATAAAAAAATCCAGAGTCGTTAAGTATGGGATAGCAAAATGTTTATTTACTTACTTATGAAAGGTGATTCCAGTGTTTTTCAAATCTGAATGGCTTCTACACCACTTCACGACACATGACGGCATATTTGCGCAATGAAATAGAGTATCAATGAAATTTTTATGCATAAATAGGTCAAAAGTTTCAGGGACGCAGACGTTTCTATTCCTGTAAAACTATTTCAAAATATTGCCTAGAGGTAAAGGAATAGGGAAATAAATATCACATATGAGAGAAAGCAAGCTTCACCAAGAAAAGCTATTCTAAACACGCTTGTGTTCTGTCTGTATTTTTATTATTCCTGATGTGCATACCGTAAAACTCCACCGCGCGAAAACTTTGATTCCGTCTGCGGTTTACCAACAAAATGAGAATTGCAAAAATGGAAACTGTATCCATAACAGATTTGCATGTTTGATTGATGGCTGTGTAACTGTATCATAATATTTTGTGGTACTTGTTATCACTGACGGCTGGACGATATTAAACATTGTGTTTTCGAATTAACGAATAAATTGTGGGTAATCCACTGGACTGAATACCGCACGTTCTACAGTATTAACTACGAAATACATTAATCATTTGGTAAATGAGAAATTGTAATTTAAATTACAATGATTGTACGTGTGTATTTAGTACACTAAGCTACAGAAGCCAGCCTAACCAAATATTATTAATTATAGAAAATCCGTTCACGTCTTGCTAAACCAACCATCGTGGAATGTTGGCAAAGTAATGAAAAAGCTGGGCAAAGTTTATTTTTGGTTTTCGGACATCTGACACTTACGCCATCGACTGCCTCGGTGATGCACAATGCACCGTGCATTGGTAGGTATGCGACTGTTGTGCTGAGGTGTCGGGTTCGACTGGTGGGTCGAACCAAACATAATAATAATAACTTTATTGGCAGCTTTTTTACAAGATTGTTGTTCACATGCACGGAATAGGACATTGTAGACAATAGAACTACGAACAGCATTGACCGCCGAACTAGGTCAGACCTATGTTTCACGATTTATATGATCTGCAAAATTGTGTTTCGGAGTTTAGGAGTCTATGTATAATATGTATGTCGTCCGTGTGGTGACGGATTGAGAATACGGAGTGTCACCACCCCTATTCATCCCGTGGGTGTCGTAAGAGCCGACTAAGGGAACAAACTACGCAGGACAACAGCACTGCAAAGAGAAGGAAAACTTGAAACAAACCCTATATCAACCCGTCTGGCCAGTGTGGTATAGTATTCTAATGTCCAGCAGTGGACTGTTATAGGCTGTTGATGATGTCGAATATGTATGTATTTACGAAAAAAAGTATATAAGTATTCTATCAGTCAATCTAGCTTTCATAGTACAAGCTCTGTTTAGTTTGTAACTAAATGGCGTTGTGTGTCAGTTGTCCGAAAAAATATTATAATTACTCAGCCTTTCTCAAAAATATGAAAGGATTCCTTGAAACCGCTTTTCTCTGAAGCCGTGGTTTCACTCCGGCCGACTATGTCTCTCCCACGGATCTCACACAGAAAAGGTACTGTTTCCGACAGTGCAAAAGCTATTTTAGGATGTATTACAATTTGAATTGTGTTTGCACAAACCCATAAGAAAATATTTGTCCATCTAAATATGCATCAATGGATGCAGTTAAGTAGTGCAAGCGCTCACTGCCAACTGTCAGTAGAGAGACGAGAGGGCTCGAACCTCGAGGACCCTCCTGCTACATGGCTCAACCGTAAACTCTTTGTGTGGCCAGTGATTTTATTGAATCGCATCGTTGAGTATATTTTATGTGTTTGTTTAATTATACATACGCTCTCAAAGATTTCAAATCATTCCTGTCTAAGTTTATTTAAGAATAACTTATTTTAACTCATAAGACATTACTAATAATAATCATTTATTGCAGGTATACCAATAGCAATTTAATTTTTAGATGACAAAATTACAGTAAATTACTCAGTTTAGTGAGGACTGTGGAATTTTCCCAGCCCAATGTGTTGAACTAAATAGAATTTTAAGATCTGGCCATAATATATGTATTTAATTATTATCTTAAAAACGTAAAGGCACGATGTAACATATCATCATTCATCATCATCATCAGTATTTTCTACTCAGCCTTAATTGGCAGAACCGTTCAGGGGGCAAACATGTAATGGAGGATTGGCTCGCGAGGCATCACGGGACCTTCTCATACCGACTGACGCAGGTGATCACTGACAAAGGAGATCGCCTGTGTCTGATTCGCAAGGAGCCAACGCCTGAGTGCCACCACTGCGATGGTCGTACTGGGATTTCCGCACAGAAAAAAAAGGGGGCAAACATGTAGAACTTTTCTTTCTTTTCTAATCATTAGCGTGCTTTTGGGAGTTTCATGCGGAGTGCATGATAATAAACATTTACAATAAAAACACAGGTAACTAATTTAACTAATCGAATAATTGGAAAGGGCAAATTATACGATGATAGTGATAATTTCCCTAAGGGGGTGATAGAAGCTGTATTGTCATCTCTGTTTTAAATAAATACTTCTAGAATTCGACCCGAAGGGGAACCTTCGATTTCTCTCTAGTAACTATTAGTAAGTTAGTTTTGCAAAGCTATTAGTGTTTCGAAGCTGCATGATCATCATCTCAAATCACGCTCCAGTATCACTACATAGTCATCATTCAATTACTAGGCAATTAGTACGTCAGCTGTAAACAAACAACACTTGTTTACACATCGCCGGCTCACAATGTGCACGTCGCGGCGCACGTCAACGCACGCGTCGATGGTCACGTGCGGGCACATTATGGACGTACAGCTTGCAGCTTTTAATTAGAGACAAAAAGGTGGGTTTTGTTGCAGCTATTCCTTTTTAATTGACTGCGCCCTGTTTGTAGGTACTTCATGCTTATCTGAAGATGATATTCAATGGGAGTAATTTTCCAGTGCATTGGAAATTATAGAATTGAAACGGTGGCGAACTGTGCGATTTTAAATGAGGCTTACTCTGCCAGTTCAGACTTTGCAAGGACTTGTTACTGTATTAGTTCGTTCTGTAATGTGGTACTTCAAAATTGCCAATAAATACTTTTTATTGTAGTTTATGAACAGACATGCTATATAGAACATCTGTCTATCCACACTATTACATACATAGTTGTTGTTTAGCGGTTAGTGGTACGGATTGCGGCTTTTGTATAGAGAATTCGTGGAGAAAGGTAAAGTTATAGATAACATTACATTGGCACGTTTGGGAACGAAGCCGTGAACATAAATGCGGGTTAACTGGAAAGGGCTAGTAATGTACATTCACTTTAGACAATACTCTACCACACATTAAGCTAATATATTATTAAATTATTTACATTTTACAACAAAATGTTTACACAAAACAATGCATTTTCACAAACACATCCAAAACCCACAATTAAATTACAACAACTGAATAATTTTAATAATTTATTTAGTGAGTGTACAATATACACAATAGCATTATTTCAAGTGGAGAGATCCTGAAATGCAAATAAATGATGGTGGATAACGATGGGCTGTGGTCGCGCGTGGTCGCGCGTGGTCGTTGCGGGCGCTGCGGAACCGCCGCGTGGAAGTAGCGGGGCTACAGTACCGCAGTACAGTACGAGTATATTAACACATTTTAACATTTAATTTTGAGCCTTTTTTGCTTTATTCTGTATTTAATATTTTAATACAGAATAAAGCAAAAAAGTGGAGTTTTGTGGAGGATTGGCTGGTGCACTTATGGTGATAATGGTCAGGATAAATGTAAAATTTGTTTATTCTGGATTTATTAACACTGACAGTTTGATGTCATAGTGGCGGGTCCTTATTACAATACCCTATCCGTTTTTCCGCCAAAGCAAATGAGCAAATGAGCAGACAGATCATCTGATGGTAAGTGATTACCACCGCCTATGGACACCTGCAACTCAAAAGTCCTATGTCCTTTGTTGGCCTTTGAGTTTCGAGCCTCGCCCTCGGCCTCGAGCTTTGGGTGGGGGCTCTACTAATTTTATTTCTTATTTAGTCTTATTAAGTAAAAAGACAACTCCTGCATTAGAAATATATATCCTGTGTCGCGGGGGACTTTACAAACATACATGAAATAGACACAAAGAACACCCTGACTCAGAAGAACAATTTGTGGATCACACAAAGTGTCGTCCCATGTGGGGTTTGAGCCCACAACACTCGACGCAGTAGGAAGCGTCGTGGCGACCACTTAAACCACTACGTCATCCGTGCAGTCGAGTCGAAGTTAGCTTAGGTTAACCTAAGTTCCCTTCATTACTATCCAGCTTCAACCCCATAGACACATACAAATATTAAACTTGAGAAACCCCTCATTTGTACAGATGTTTGTTGGTTCACAGATGCACCTGCATGTGCAGTAATAGTGAGTATCGTCAAAGCTAACTTACTTGGGTTAGAAACCAGTGCACGTCAGTTACGGGATGAGTTAAACAGCGCCTCCGGGCTTGTGAATTTTGATGTCAACGCTCATGAGGAAAGAGGTGGCAACGACGAGTAGGTAACACTTTATAATTATAGTTGTAGTCCGCGGTATTTTCGAACTTATATGACCTTCAAACCTTCAAGAAAAGAGCGTACTCCTTTCTTCTTCTTCCCGTCTGCTCGTTCGCCCCCTATTCAATCAAAAAGAACAATTGTGCAGCAATAACCGCTTCACAACTCGAGCTGGGCATGATAATAGGTTGTAAATAGGTCTCTCGAAATGAAAAAAAACCCTGTTTATCCAAAAAAATAATTAATGATCGACTCCTATTGGTCGTAGCGTAATTTAGCCTTCATCGATAAATGGGCTATCCTAAAATATTTTTTCAATTCGAACCAGTACTTTGTGGGATTAAAGCGTTCGATTAACCAAACGAACACATTACAAGATAAAAATAGGCAAATCAAATACAAAAACACAACTTACGTTAAGTGTTGTGGGTTCGATCCCCACATGGGACGATATTTTGTATGATCCACAAATTGCTGTCCTGAGTCTGGGTGTTCTTTGTGTCCGTTTCATGTATGTTTGTAAAGTCCCCCGGGACACAGGATTTATATTCCTAATGCAGGAGTGGTCTTTTTACTTAATAAGACTAAACAAGAAATAAGATTACTGGAGCCCCCACCCAAAACTCGAGGCCGAGGCTCGAAACCGGTAAAGGTTTTTAATACTCCACGGTTATTTGCACGATACCTATGCAGAAAAAGCAGGTTAAACATTTTTGGTCTGTCTATCTGTTCCGGGTAATCTTCTAAACCGCTGGACTGATTTTGATTATATTTTATTACCAGGTAGCTGTCTATATAAGGAGTATCTTTGGCTATTTTGCTTCTCAGAAAAACCCTTGCCCGGTCCGGGAATCGAACCCACTAAGGCAGCGCTTTTCAAATTCGCGAACGAAGCCACGGGTACCAGCTAGTATTCTTTATAGAATATAACTAGACAAACATGCATCACAGTTAATACATTTTAAGTGTACGGTTAAAATATCATTCACAAATTCGCCGAAACCGCTATTTTAATCCCAACAGCAATAAAATATACCCTGGATGTCGTGTTACGAAACTCAAACTGGGACTCCATAAAGAAATATTAAAATTTCATTATAGCTACAACCCGTCGGATCAGCAAATAGTTTGAAGTTTAAATGAAAGCCCGAGGCGACTGCCGCTTTTGTGGACGCTGCAGACAAACTGTAGTTTCAGTTCGGCCGGATACTTGCTCGGAGTAATATAATTACCTACGTAGTAGATTACATTTTTAATTATTTATTTTTGATGGAACATATTTCTTTCAGTGAGTGTGTTTTCATGAACAGGAAGTCTGGGAAGCGCTTTACATTTGATTTGACCACTGAGCGCATCTAGACTTGAACGTCAGGTGGTAGAAGAGATGTAGTCATCATATACGATTAATGTGAAAATCGCTCGTTTCATTATTGGTCGTCTCTAGCCATTGTTAGATACAATGGCTTTGGTTCAACATGCAAATATTTAAATTTTAATGAAAACATTCGTACTTTTACAGAAATTTGAAGTAATTTTTGATTCGTTCTAACGATTTTGTACGTTAACAGGAATTGGGTAAATAGCAAAGCATACAGTACTATAAACAGTAATTGGGTTTAAACCCGTTTTTTTTAAGTTTAACGACATGCGGTTACTAAAACTTCGATACTGGACATTTGAAATGGCTCGATTGAGATACCTTCTAGTCAACATTGCCTATATAGACATAGGTTTGTGTGAGCAACTGATAGCATAGGCTAGGAGTTCTGATTAATAGGTCTTCCACAACACTCGTCTTACATTCACTTCCCAAATAAGAAAGAGTTGGTTTTAGTAAGTAAGCCTGTGCCTATGATTATATTTCGATAATTTTACTTTTAAATCATCTTTAAAAAACTAATCATTTTATTTTTTGGGTCTGATACTATATAAATGCAACAACACACAAAAGAGACATCTGTCTTCTATTTATTATTTAAAGAAGTAAATTAAGTATTAAATCTTGATGTACACATCTTTTAAAGTCTTCTAGAAGCTAAATAACATTACCGCCAATCCAATCTGTGGAACCCTAACTCTCTCAATATGGCTAGCATAAATAAATTGAATAGGAGAATTTCAACGTCCCTGGTAATGCGGGTTACCGCCGATGTGTTAGTGCTCTTATATACTGTCTCAGGCATTCTATATTTGTTCGAGCTATCGTGTATAAAGCTATCCGGAAAATTGCGATTCTTTAATATTGAAAATTTTATAGATGCTTTTGTTAGTTTATGTTGATAGAACATATAAAAATGGTTAGTTTCGCTTTGAAATTGTCATTTTCTTTGTCATTCGGTTTTGTGCTGCTGCCTCGTTGCGTACATTGGCTTTATCAGATTGTTTTTCTGGCAAAAATATTGAATTTGCGTCGAAGTGATAACGATTTTACGAAAATCTGGTTTTGTTATGTTGTTTTTAGTAAGGTAAAATAGAAAATATATATTTAAATAATATAGTAGACAATACGGTTTATTATCTGAAGGAATTTACGGTACCTTTTAGTTTTTTTTACATAGAATTTCGTTTTATTTTATAAAACTAATACTAGTTGTACCCTGCCACGCTTTGCTGTGGCACATTATGGTTGAGAAAAAATAGATAAAAACCATCTTTGAAGCGAGTTGTATATCGTGTCAAAATTTGAACTCAATTAGTGCAGAATTTTTGAGATTTGGAACCGTACAGAAATCAACTTAACATTTATATATGTATAGGTATCGAAATTAGTTTTTGGATAAGACGTAACTAAACAGCTTACAAAGATTTACTTTCTGTCTTAAACTTAGTAATTTTAACAGAAAATAAGACAATAGATAAATCCCACGATATAGTAAGTTATATTCTTGTAGTTAATAAGGTCTACAGAGCTGTCGAATGGAAGAGAGGGGAGAGAACACGGGCTTGCAAAACGCTTAGAAACAGTTTGTAAACGATATTTGTGAACATTTTGTAGTTTTATAAGATACCATTTTTGAAGAAGATCTTTTAAGAAAGGGGCTGATTCCTGAGACTGTGGGTCTAGTTGGTTTGTTCGTCAGAATACCGAAACCAACAGTACCGTCAATCTATCAGTATCTAGTGATCTTCACTACTAAAGTAGAAATTAGACTGAATTCGCAGAACAAATAATTGTATGATGAACTCGACGACCAGTTCTGTAGGTTTAATTTGTCTGTAACAGATATGTAAATATATTTATTTAATATATGTTTATCAGAAATCTGTCTACCGTTGTAAAGACGCTGCCAAGTTTGGAGCCACACAGTTTATAATATGTATCAATGTGTCATTACGAAGCTATCACGAAGATTTAAAAAATTTATGCTTTCTGTTATTCTTTAGTCAAGACACTTCATACTCCCAGATACTTATTTAAAAAGTACAGATTTTCAAAAAGCACTAACGGTAAGTAACATTTTGCTACAAAACTTTTCATTAATGTTTCCTCTTATTTATTTTTATGTAAACAGAATTTCAGCGGAAATACGATGACGTCACTCATTGCGTCAAGCGTATTTATCATTCGCAGCGCCATCTGTACGCAATATTAAATTATATAACAGACTTAATTAACACATCTGTCTGCCACTGACTTTCAAATTTCCGGAGCTGGATGTACCGCACCTATATATTATTGTATAGTTTATGTTGTACATAAATCCCTTGTTGATTATATGTTTTTGGGAAATTCAAAAAAAGAGGAGCTACTAAGTTTAATGTAATATTTTTTATTTGGATAATTGTTTCCAATTGATCCCATTGTTATTCTCTATTCTCTTATCTTAGCAAAACTTTAAACTAAATACATAGATAGAATAAAATAATATAATATAATATTCTACCACATTGACACAACGCCACCTAGTCCCGACCTAAGCAGAGCTTGTACTATGTTTACTAGACACCTGATATAAATACGTATATACTTTTTTTTTGTAAACACATACATATTATATTTACATAGAAACACCCAGACCAAATCAAACATTAAACGTCATGTACACAAATGTTTGACTTGAGCGGGAATCGAACCCGCGACCTTTGGAAGAGCAGTCCGCTACACAAACCACTGCGCCGTCCGGTCGTCAATAGATAGATATAGGTGGAGAAATTTAAAAAGTCTTACAAGGAATAGTTATGTCCAGGACAGAAAATTATCAAGAAGAAGAAGCAAGAAGAAGAAGTGAAGAAGAGCCATTCTTACACTATACGGTGTCGGAACCATACTAAAAAAGGATTTTAATAACAACTTTACACATCTCACACACGATATTCTGATTCTAAACTAGGCAGAGCCTGTGCTATAGTAACTTGACTGCTGATAAACCAATTTATATATTCTAAATACATACATTTTATAAATAAATTACACATAGACACAGACGTCTTTACACGTCATTCACATTAGGTGCATTGCCGGACTTAATACCAAAGGCAATATCTACCAGTCAACCATTGGGTTACGCAGAGAAAACACGAAGTAGATGCATTTTGGTTACAGTTAATTTTATACTAAAAGCAATTAGAGCTGAATACAAAATCACATATTTACATATATACAAACCTGTCGTACACTACACCAATACATAGTAATTGATGATGATACAAAAACCCTTACAATCGTAAAGCAGTATCTATCTCTTTATTTCTATCATATCTAGCATATAATATTCAAATCTATTAAGAAGAAAGCAGGCCGGATAATGTACGGAAAAATATATTTATTCTAGTGAACTACATATTAAATTATATATACCACAAAGTATATTAATTCTGTGTTATATAAAGACCTTTCCTTTATGCGAAGGGGAGAGGTCAGATCTCATTTCCTTCGGGACATGGTACATTATACGCCGGCCAATATTGTATAGATTAATATGACAGAGGAAAATAATTTTTCGGTGGTGGCTCGTAGATATACTTTTCTTTCATTTATATTTCTATTGAGTTTTTAAGATTTTC